GAGATCGACGACGAAAACGACAAGGCGCGGCGGCTGCGCGAGAGGCGGCTGGAGCTGACGTCCGCGCACGTGGACGCGAGCCGCCCCGACCAGGAGCAGCGGAGGCGACAACTTTCGCTCGGCGTGGCGGCCGTCGGTCTCGTCGACGCCGACGTTCGACGGGGAGGAGGGGGAAGAGGAGGACCAGTGTAAGCCCAATGCGCACCAGCGGTGTTGCACTAAACCCTTTTCCATGATATTTTCCTAGAGGCCCCTCCAAGTATTTAGTTTAGTAATTCCTGACACCCCCCTCCTTCCTTTCAACTGCCCTCCACTTTGTTCCTTTACAGAGTGTTTGCAGGCCTTGGATATGAGGGAGAGAGGCCCTCTCCGAAGCTGTTTGGTTATTCAATGCAAAACACGCGCGCGCGGCCCGCCCGCCCGGCCAGCCGGCCAGCCCGCGCCATATACACAAGCACATCATTGCTTAAGGTCGTTCCGCTTATTACCTAGCCATGTATTCACCAGTTCGACGTTCGTCGTAGCGTCTCGTGATTCACATGGAGAAGATCGGCAAGCATGACAAGTGATTAGCATCAAGAGACATGTGCCCAGTATGACGATCGATATGCAAAACACGAGTTGTCAGCCGAAAGTTCTGCCTTGAGGCCAGGAGGTATTCTTTCCAGGAGCTGATGATGCATTTGGTAATCCAGAACGTCCACATTGCTTTAAAGACGCGGCAGAAGTCGTCTTCAAGACCCTGACGATTTCAGGGATCCGACACTACGCTCTTCGCAAAATGCGAGCATTGACGCCCCCGTCTCTGTGTCCAGCGGCGAGAGTCCCTTGGCGCGACCGTGTGCACCAAGACCGGAAAGTGATCTTGATGGGGGCAACGGTATTCAATTTGTCGATCTTGCATCGGAAGACGGACGACGAATCTAATTATTCCACGCTGCCGCCCCTTGCCATTCACGAGAAGTTTGATGTGGAAAGTCAGCGTCAAACCAATGGTTTTGGCGAGTCGTTTCGTCTGGAGCACGAAAATCCACCAGGCTCAGAACACGACGCAACGGAATATTTGTGCGACGCATCCATCCCCGAAGACATTTCGAGAACGCCAACGACGAAACAACACGGCCCTGTCAAGATCACCGTTGCCCTAACGATCTAGGACAGCGAGTCTGCCGGAAGAATCCTGCGGTTCGGGCATGGAGACAGCTGTAGAACGCAACGCGACCCGCGGCGCGCCTCTTCTACCCGAACGAACTGGGCCGAGATGCGCAGGGCGGTTCGAGGCATGCCCTACCAGGCCCGCCATCTTGAGGGCCCGATCGCCGAGGATCCGACCCAGCGCGTCCGCGAGGCGACGAGAGCCCCGAGCGACGTCGGGGGCATCGTCGCGCTACGGCCCGCTCGAACGAATCAAAATACCGGATACTTGAATTATCCCAGCGCGACCCTACATAGGAGTTGCAGCAGCAATAGTGGATGGGTTGCTGCGCTATGCTCTGCTATGATAAGCTATGCTATGCTATGCGGCGCAATGCTATGCTGGGCGAGGCTAGGCTAGGCTAGGCTGTTCTATGCTATGATATGCTTTGCTATGCTGCGCTATGCTATGCTGCGCTGTGCTATGCGATGCTATGCTTTTGCTTTGCCTTCGTTGTTGCCTTCGCGTTTGCCTTTGCTTTTGTTTTTGCTCGGCACCCAGGGGGCGCAACTGGGGGGGCCGCGCGTTTGCTTTCACCTTTGATGTTGCTTCTGCTCGGCTCCCTGGGGGCCCGGGGAGCCGCCCGGGGCGGGTTCCGCTGCCTGGCCCGTTTAAGAAGAAAGTAAGAACCGTTCTAGGCAGAGCCTAGGTAGGGAATACTGCTTCAACACAAGGGGCGGCTGCGCCGAAAGACTTAAGTTCAGATGCCCCGGAATGCTTGGCAAGCGCAAGAAACCCGCTCGCTCGGCGTGCTCGATGAGTTTTCTTCCGCGCAACCAGAGTTTATGCGCCCGGGTTGCCCGGCGCCCAGCGCGCGTAATTGCGCGGCCCCCCGCCGCCGCGAATAAGGGGGCGCGAGAAAAGAAGCGCGCAAGTGCGATGCAAGATCGGCGCAGGGAGATGGCGCGCATGAGAGGACAGGTCGCGACTGCGGAGCTCCAGCACAGGGCGGCCGCAAGGCTACAGATGGAAGAGGATCGCCAGACCGCGACTCGGGCTGAAGAACAATCCGAGGAAGGCCCACGCCTTACCATGACCGCACGAACTGAAACGGTCAACGTTGAGATGAAAGAAATGGCTAACGGGCTCGACGCGGCAGAGTCGGCCGAGATGCGGGCGCGCGCCTCTGCGGAGATCATTGCCGAGAAAGCCGCGCTCGCTGTCCTGGGGGCTAGCCAAACCCAGTTAGCGGAAGTAGATCAACTTGTGGCTGAGCTGACGGCCGCCGCGGCACGCAACGCAGCGTTGACGTCGGAGGCTAACGTCGAGGTCCAGGAGGCGGCCACAGGTAAGAGGGCTGCTATTGAAGCAGCAAAACGCACCGCGGATGAAATTGCAGCGCCGCTGCATGGGGCCCGCGGCGAAGCCAATGACTCTCGACAGCTGGGGCGCGCCATCGCCGCGGAGTAGAGCGCGACGTCTGCGCGCGCGCGATAGCTGAGGCTAGAGAAGCATCACTAAGGACTCAGAAGGTGGAACGGGAGGCCGACGCTAGATTGGAGGCCGCGCCCCGCAGCGCGGAGACGGTTGCGACTCAGACACTCAAACAATGGGAAGTACTTCGCGGACTATCGGGGCAACACACCCCCGAAACAAATTGAGAGAGGAATCGCCCGAGAAAGAGCCGGCAGCGCCGGCCAAAACAGCCGGGCGGAGCTATCGCGAGACAGCGCGTCAGCCTGTCTTCTATGCGGTAGGCGCTGGTTCGTTGCGGCGTTTTTGCGCGCAGAGGGCAGGGGGGGGGGGGGGCAGGTGCGCAACCTGTTTTGCCGCGTCCGCTCGCCGGGAACAGGAGGCATAATAAAGGAAAAGGAGAGGGAGGTGAGCGTGGAATCGGGATGGACATGGAAGAGCGCGCTGCTGCCCGGACCTCGCCATGCGCAGGGCCATTCGACTGTCGACCCACGGCGGGGAGACGTCGCGGCGACGCCGCGGCCTCCTCCGAGCAGAAGACAGAGAGTGATGTCGCTCGACGCCTCGGGGCGTTTGAGGACAGCGCTATGGCCGAGCACCAGAAAATGACTTCAATGCTCTGCGAAGCATAATAAACATTGAACGCCGCGCTGCAGCCAACGCGCAGAGACGATAATGGCGCGCTGAGAAACGGGCCGAGGCTGAGCTGCTCGCCGAAAAGCGGGGGATGGAAAGAGAGGAAGAGGCCAGGGAGGATGGGGAGCGTCGCAAAAAGAAAGGACAAGAGGGGGGCGACGAGCAGGCTGCGCCTGTCGCGAGGTTCCCCGGCTACACTCGACCCCCCCCCCAAACCATCGAAAGCCCGGGGGCGGCGACGACGAGGGCGGCGGTGCTTTCGAAGGGGGGGGGCTGGAAGATTCCGCCCCGGGGGGTGCTGCCCCTGTCAAGAAGGAGAACAAGGGTTCGGGCCCGCCGGAGGATGGCGGAGACGACTCCGATGACGACTCAGACTCTGAACCAGCAGACTCCGAGGACGAGGGCTTCGAATCTCCTGGAGGGGAGGGAAGCAAGGGCGGCGACGAGCGTCGTGGGCGCTACGGTCCACCAAGTGACGACCCTCCGCCGGGCGTTGGAAATCCGGTATCCCCCCCGAATTTCGTTCTGGGGGCGGCAGGCGCGTCGGCAGACATGAGAAAGACAGACGAGGTTAACCTTGATCCGATCCCCGATGCAAGCGCGCACAGAAAGTGGACGAGGAACGCTGCTAGTCTCCTCCAGCTCTACGCGGTGGGTTAGAGCGACTCCCTGGCTGCATGCTGCCTTTCAGGTGGAAGAAATCCCCATGGAGGGCCTTGATGATCCCGGCGAATTCGGATGATTCGATTTGATGATTGCCTCGGACCTAATGTCCGCAGTCAGTGGGATCACAAAGGGCGCGAAGGCGCCCCCTCCCATGAGACGCTTGGCCAGCGAAGTCGATCGCCTGGACTCCGTGCATCCGAAGAAGTCAACGTTGCTTTCGGGCCGCGCCATTCTGCGGACCAATGCCGAGCACTTCACCACCCGCCAGGATCACGGTCAGGCGCGCGCGCGCGCGCGCCAGGACTTGGTGGACATCGCGGTCCGAGCTTCGGGCGAGCAAGCAGATGGCGACTTACTCTATGTCAACTTCGAGTGGGTGATGAGAATGAAACAGGAACGCCGCGCAAGTCATTCCGACCCGCCACCCAAGAACATTCCGGCTGACATTTGAAGGAATGCCCAGGCATGCCGATGACCCCTGCCATGCGCGAGCACAGCAGCGACCAATGCGACGCGGGCGCGATGCCGCGCGAGCGGCTGCTTCCGCAGATCAGCAGGCGCGCGCGCGGATATGGGGAGAACGCAACCGCGAAGCTCCGCGCAAGCAGCTGGCGCCCGCGGCCCCCCAGCGGGAGGCGCAGGGGACGGGGGCGGAGGAGGGCGGGGGCGACGAGAAACGGTCGCCTCGCGCGCCAGATGGGAAGGCCCTGAAGAAAGACGCCGGTTGCGAGCATCACTTCCAGGGGAAGCGCAAGCATGCTGAGGCCGAGCGCCTGCGCAGGCACCCCGGAGGAGCGGCCCCAGCGGCCCCCGCGCTGCGAGACGCCGCTCCAGGCGGCGACGGCGGCGGGGGGGGGGGAAGGTGACATAATTCCAGGGGGGGGGGGTCGCGGCAGGAGCCAGGAAGGCAACAATCGCCAAGGATCCCAGAGCAAAGAATCAAGCGCAACGTCCTCGAATAACGGACTGCGCTACGCCTTCAGCCGAGGGGCGCGCGCGCTGCCGCGATATCAGCGCCCCCGCGAGCGTCGCAAGGCGACGAATGAAGAAGAGCTCGCGCGCGATATGTGGGAGGCCAAAATGGAGAAGGATAAGAAGGGGCCGCCGCGCAGGAGGAGAGCCGGCCGCGCGTGCGCCGCCGCGCAGAATATTAAGAAAAACGCAGCTCCAGGCGGACCCGGCGGTTGAAAACCC